CAGCCGGGCAGTGATGGGGCGAGGTTCTGAGATTGGACTGGGGGCAAGGGAGCTGGCCAGGGCTGGGAGGGCTCAGTGGGGAGGGCCATGCAGGCAGAGGCAGATCTAGAATAAGGATCCTGCCCCAGTGTGGACGAGTGTGCTTTTCCTCCCACGTAGACACGACGGGTGCCCTTGGACGAAGGTGGACGAAGGATACACTGCCGGGTGCTAGACCCTGTGCTAGGGGCTGGACAGCCCCACGGCACATGCCGTGTCACATGTGTGGACACTGAGGCTCAGAGAGGTGGAGCTCCTTGCCTAGTTAGGTGAGTAGGTGAATCCGCATTTGCTGGGCTTCTGTCTCCAAAGTTACCGTAATGGAGGGGCCAACGGAGTGATGGATTCTACCCCAAGTAAAAAGCACTTGGGGATTCCCAGGGGACAGTTGCTGGGTGCCCCAGGATAAGCCACTTTGCTGTCGGGACCCCAGCTTATTCATCCAGGTTAAGATGTTCCCGCGTTAGAGGGTCAGGTGGGGCCTGGTGAGAAATGGCTTTGCAGAGTGCTCTGAAGAGTCCAGGCCTTGGTGACAGTCGTCCGGCCCGTCGTTAGCTCAGGCCCCCTCCCTCCCATGAGCATTTCCCCAGAACCCGCTCTCAACAGGCCCAGACCTGCGCTGAGGGCGGGAGCTGGAGCTGTCTGGATGCGAATCCTGGTCCTGTCCCTTAGCGGCTGGGCCCTTCCCTCTCTGGGCCTCAGTCTTCTCATCGTGCATTATCCACCGCTGGGGGTGAAGATTAAAATTAAATGGCACAAAGAAGGAGGAGGGTGAGGCCCGAGTGAAACCCTCCCTCCTTTCCTGGGGAGACTCAGTTCCTGAAGCCAGACCCCTGCCCTCAGAGCTGGGGGTCCAGCTGTGGGCAGCTGAGGCATGTCCCCGAGTCCCTTTGGAAGTCAGCGTGTGGCATGCGGTGTGACCAGGTTGCTGATGCTCAGGCCGCGGGGCAAGGGCAGAGGCAGTGCTGGGGAAGCCAGCCAGGGAGGAAGGGGCCTGTCTGGACTTTATCCCAGAGCAACAGGGAGCTGAGGCCGCTTGGAGAAGGCGCCCACGTGCCAGGACGGGGAGAGCCACGCGCGTGGGGGAGGGGAGGCCAGGCTGCTTCTCTCTGAGGCAGGGGAAGCCTGTTTCCACCTTTTCAGGCCCCCTCCCCGGGGCTGGCGAGGGCCTCTGAGCACCATGGAGACCACCCCCAGTGCAGCCGGGGCTGTGGGGCTGCAGGAGGACTGGGAGGCGTTCCCAGGAGCCCCAGCTCCATTGGGAGGCGCCCGCCTGGGGCCTGGGAGGCAGGTGGCATCTTGCAACCCTGCAATTAGTAGATAAAATAGGCAGGGTGGTGGGGGCTGGGGGACAGCCAGCTGAGACTGCAGCTGGTTCCTGGGTGCTGCCTCTGCCCCCAGCTCCCACCCGCTGCCCACTGAGGGCCGCCTCGGGTGGCTGGAGGGCCCCCAGGCAAACAAGGTGCAGGGGTCTTAGGAGGGAATGCAGAGCCAGAAAGAGGAGAGTATCACCGAGGCTGCATGGCTGGATGTGGGTTGGGACAGCCCATTGTTCTTGTCCCCATTTTACGGGGAGGGAAACTAAAGCCCAGAGAGGGGCAGGAGCTTACCAGAAGACACACAGCTAACAGAAAGCAGGCGGGGGCCAGAAGCCAGGTTTTTCTGGCATGCTGGAGTGTGGATGGTTCACTCCTTAACAGGGCTTTCAAGGCAGGGAACCCTGGGGGCTGCCCGGTGGAGTTGGGGTGGGCAGACCTGCCCTGGCTGGAGAGCAGGGCAGACTCCAGGGCCCCCAGCCCTCGTGCTGCTGCGGGGAGGCGGGGCGGCTGGCGGGGCAGTGTCTGGGCCGGCCGGTTCTCCAGCCTGTCTGGGCACTCCAGGCCCGTGAGGAGGGGCCCTGGCACTGCGGCCCCTGGGGTGCTTGAGCTGACTGCCCGGGGAAACTTCCCTGCTCTACTGCAGGAGGAAGACTTGGCTGAGCGGCAGAAAGACCCAGAAAGACCGTCTAGGACTGGCCTGGCAGTTACTGCAGTGGGGCTGGGGGTGGAGTGGGGCTCTGGCTTCAGCCTTCCACCATCCCATCCATCCCTCCTTTCTCCATCCTTCCTTCCTTTTAACCTTCACTCTTCCCCATTGGGCCCAGGGCACGTTGCCGGTGCTGGCTACTGGAAGGATTCATTGCCCTCCGGGAACAGCTGTGGCAGGAGAAGCAAAGAAGATCACCCCCCCACACTGCAAATGGCCCCAGCGGGCTGAACTCCGAGGGGCTCGTGGGACTCTGATGGTCCAGGGCAATTCTGGGGGGCAGAATGGGGTGGGCATGGCCAGAGCTGCAGGGTATGCAGAGGGGGGTGGGGGTCGGCTGCAGGGGCAGGGGCAGGGGCAGGGCTAGTAACTTGCTCCCCCTGAGCCTCTGGGCCCTGGCATAGAGCGGGATGATGATGGTGGTACCTGCCTCACCGGCTGGTGGGACCCACCAGTGAGACGGCACGTGTCTGAAGCACGCAGTGGGGCTCACTCCATTTCAACAGTTCTTGGCGGTCACCCCTGTAGTGACGTGGCGCCTGCGGGAGTTCTGAGCCTGTGAGCGACACGTGCACTCAGCCTGACGACATCTCACACTGGGGCCCACTGACCAGACTAAGCCCGAGGCAAAACCCTCAGGTGCCTCCAGGGGCGGGACAGTCATTTGAATGAGTGAGGTGGGTGCAGGGGGAGGCGGCAGGGAGTGGTGGAGACTGCGGTGCGTGGGGTGTCTGTGCCCCATCCCAGGGAGCAGAGGTGCTGATTTCTCAAGAGAGGGAGACCCACACATGTATGGGGGAACTTCCCATTACTAATTTTAGCAATGCATTAAATGAGCCAGACCTAATGCTGCTGCTGGCAGACGCTGCCGCGACCACTGGGTGACTTCCGCTGTAGGGAGAGGGAAGCCCGGAAGGGCTGTGAGCAGGGAAGCAGCCCGCGTCCCAGGCCCAGGGCACCATCGAGCCCTGTGTCTGGGCGTCCCACCCCCCTCCCTTCCTCCCTCCGGAGGAGGCCTCGGTTCTCCGGTGTGCAGCGGGAGGCCAGACCCCCTCCCCACTGGCATTCCCAGGAGCGGCCTGCCGGGGAGATAGGGGCCGTAATGAGGCCCCTGCTCAGCGCTATCTCGCAGGAGGTGCCAGCGAGTCTGGGGGAGCCCAGCCGGCCAGACGGGGTCTGCTCTGTGTCTGCGGATGGATGGCAGGTCCGGCTGGAGGTGGCTCTTAGAGCTGGTGTCAGTGAGGGCCTGGCTTCTGCCTCCTAGCTCCTGGGGGTCAAAGGGCAGCACTTTTCTGGGGCCGACTTCCTGTTTGGGAGAGAAAACAGAAGGACCCCTGGCAGGAAATGGCCGTCTTCCCGAAGCCCTGTTCTGCAGGCGCTGGCTGCCGGGGAAAGAGCCGTGGAGGGGATCCCCAGGGCTGTCTCCCTCGCTCCTTCCTTCCCCCTTGGGAGGAGCCCAGGAGGGGACCTGGGGCCTCTTTGCCATGGCAGCAAACCCCACCCACAAGCACCGTTAGTTTAGGCTTGGCAGCTGGAACACTCCCAGTCCGTGTTTCCCAGCTCCCAGCTGGGCTCCTGGGCCTGCCTGCCCTGGGACCCGGCACTGTGGCCCGAGGGGTCTCTCATGACTAGGCCACACCAAGAAAGTCATTTAGTGCAGCTGCCCACCCCTAGCCCCTTTACCAACTGAATTGAACTCCTCTATGCTGCCAGGCTCTGGCCTTTCCTTGCACACCCCTGGACACAGGGAACTCATCACCTTAGGCATTCTGGAACAATTCTGACAACGCTTCCTTCTGCAGAAAGCAGGCCCTGGTGCTGAGACTTCGTCTAAAACACCTCATCAGAAGAGCAGGTGCCCGGAATGCCACTTTGACTGTCAAAGATCAAAAGTATACACTACTCTGTTTCTAATAACAGTTTCCATCAAATTTAACATAAATCTGCCGCTTATACGTGGTTTAGAAATTAAACATCAAAAGTAAAATTAACCTGTAATTTTACTACCTGGAGCAGGGCTGGGGGAAAGATAAAAGGGTTCGCTATTTATTGTATCCACACATACCTCTGGGTAAACCCATCAATCACCTGAACGTCCTCCCCTGCGCCCAGCTAGCAGGTGCCCCCTCTCCAGGGCAGACCTTCAGGTATTTTAATAATAACTATCCTTTACAGAGCTCTGGATCAACTTCTTTAATTCTCATGACAGCTCTGTGAGACATCTGAACTTATAGATGGAAAGCTGAGGCTCAGAGAGGGCAAGCAACTTCCCTGAGGCTGCACAGCCAGTAAGGGGCAGAGCAGATTTTGAATCCATCGGGTGCCAGAACTGAAGTCTCCTCTTCTCCAGATTAGACACACACTGTACTTTCTCCTTCCTTGTCACAGGAGCTGGACACCAGACCACTCAGAAGCTAGATGTTCATTCATTCGTTCTTTCTGACGTTCATTAAGTCACTCAATATTCCTGAGCTCTGGTTTAGTATCAGGTGCAGGCTGACACTGTCCCCCACACCCCCTGCCCACATCTGCCATGCTTTCAGGACTCTGACCCAAGAACTTGAACTCCATTTATTACAAAAGACTGGGTTCGTCACACTGTATTATGAACAGCCCCTGCCGGACCTTCAAGGCCTAGAGAGGCAGCCTGGGTTGGGCCCCAACAATCCTCCCTCGACATGCCCCCCTGCATGAAGTCCTGGGTGGGCGGAGTTGCCTGGCCGGAGCTCTGGAGTGGTCCTATATTCATAAAACCACATGGGTCCGAGGCCCCTGGGCATATATATGGCGTACACATATGTACAGACAGAACGCAGGCGTCCCTTCCTCAGGGCGCTGGTGGGCGGGACTGCTGAGGCCCTCCCCGCGAGAGACGAAGTCATCCGTGGCAGGGAGCAGGGTCTGGTCCCAGAGCAAGCCTAGCCAGCTGCGTCAGTTCAAGTGACAGGTCGGCCTGCACCCCGGGGGGGTCCCGTCCCGTCCAGCCCTGAGAGGCTCTAGGCCACCTGGATCTGCAAGTCCTCGTCCTCGTCCAGGTCGCTGGCTCCGTCCCCGGCCTCCTCAGTGCCAAAGCGAGCACCACGGATCTTCCCGAAAAGGGGCGCGTTCTGCTGCTGCCTGCGGAGCCTGTGGGGGGGGGGGGGCCACAGGTCGCACGTGAGGCCTTGTACACACGTTACCTCGTATCGTCCTCACGCAGGGCCCTTTTGGAAGGAGAAGCTAGTACCACGCCCACTTCACAGACAAGGAAACTGAGGCACAGAGAAGCGGAGTAACTGCCCAAAGTCAGCCCCCCCAGTAGGGCTGGGCTCTGAACCAAGGCGGCTGGCTCCGGAGTGGGCCAGGGACTTGGAGAGGCGAAGGAGCTGGCCCAGGGTCCCCCTGCTGGGATGTGAACCCAAGCCTGGCTGCGAGAACACAGGCAGCAAGAGTTCATCCCTGCGTCAGTGACGGTGCTCAGCCCTAGTTCTTCCTCACGTTAAAATTCCTGAAGCCAAAATGCGCGAGGCAAACTTGGACTCTGAGAGCAGCGGGGGAGGAAATGCCCATCCCTGCCCTCCCCCGCCCAGCCAGGCGGCCCTTCCTGGAAGGCCTGAATTATTAACACGGCAGGCCTCCATTACTGCGCGGTGATTTAGTGAGCTGTCCCCGGAACATTAAAGCTCGAAAAGTTGCCGGGTGGCCCTGCCCTCCCCGATGAAAGCACTTCAGAGGCTGAGCAGAGCCCCCCCGCCCGCCCGTTTTGGGAGTTTACGGCTCCTGAAGAACGTGACTAAGGCTGAGTGGCCTTTGCAGGGGTGTATGCTGCGGGCCAGAGTGGGCAGAGCCAGGCAGACAACGAACCTGACCTGGACACACACCTGGGCCCCCCCAGAGCACTGTGGGCCTGATCCCGGGCAGAGGGCTCAGGGGGCCAGGCCACACAGCTGTTAGGTCTGGCTCCACTGCCTGTGCTCTGAAGCACACAGCAGCACATAGTAAATGCTCAATAAATGAGAGCTCAAATGCCTGACGGTTAGCGGGTGATCCGGCCTGGCCACCCAGCAGCTGTGTGGCCACGGAAGGACCTACTTTCTTAGGCCTTCGTTTCCTCATCTGCTAGTCCCCTAGAAAAAAAATCTCTCTCCTTTCCTTCCTCTCACAGAAGCAGCACGACGCTTGTAGCACAATATCTAACCCAGATATAAGGCCCCTCCCCGGAGTAGTAGTAACAGTAACAGCAGCAGCTGACAATTATGATTTATGATGTGTCAGGTGCTTTAATGAATGTGGATCAGCTCATTTAATTCTCACCACAAGAGGTGAGAGCTCACATCATCCCCGTTTCACAGATGAGGAAACTGACACAGAGAGGTTAAGTAAGTGTCCCAAGACCACACAGCTACTAAGTGCAGAGCTAGGCGTAGGCTTCCCACCACCCAGGCAGTCTGGCTGCAGAGCCCGGAACCCTCTACTCCATGAAATAAGAGACTGTAAGTGTGTGCTGGGCCAGGGCCTGGCCCAGGAACAGTTGGTCAACGCCATGGCTATGACAACCTTTGCGCTTCCCAGCTGTGAAGCAGGGAGGGGCTTGGACTTGAAGTTCTCTGACGTCTCCTGGCTCTAGGGGAAGTGCAGAGAGAGGGTGTGATTCATGAATCCTGGGAGAGGGATGGGGCAGGGCAAGGAAGCATAGTGTGCTGGGCGGGTCCCCCAGAGGTTGATGGGTCGGCCTGCAGTCAGTGTGGGGCCCCCCATGACTCCCCGCCATCCAGGGTCACCCCAGCCCAGTGACCCTGGGGGTGCTCATTCTTCTTGTCAAGGACCCCCCCAGTCCCGCTGGCCCTACCCACTGCCCCACCGCTTGGGCCTGCCCTCTCTGCCGCCCTTCCTGCCCTCCCACCGCCCACCAGCCCCCCTGCTAGAAGAGACAATTCCAGGGCCCCTACATGGCCTGACTTCCTGCACCCCCCTTCCCTGGTTTCCTGGCTCTGGCCCTTCCTGCCTGGAGGGGATAGGATTCTGGCCCCAGGGCTCCCCGATCTCTTCCTTATCTGTCTTCCCCTTTCGTCCTAGTTTAGGGCTCCGGCCCAACTGGAGGTCTCCCTCGGCTGGAAGTCTCCCTGCGCTGTTGCTGCCCCCGCGCCACGAATCCTGGCAGCCCCGGGGCCCACCTGGACTGCAGGTGCTCCAGCTGGACCTGCAGGTTCTCGCTCTGCTCCGTCTGCTCGTCCAGCGACCGCTGCAGCTTGCGCGCCTGGTTGTGGGCCTCGTCCAGCTGCGGGCGAGCAGGGCCAAGGGCGTGAGGGTCACCTTGGGCTGGGCAGCCTGGCCTGCCACCACCCAGGGCCAGTCACTCCTACCGTCCCTCTCCGGGAATGTGCTTTTCCGACAGCGTCTGCTCCTTGAGGCCCAGCCCGAGGCTCACCTCCGCTGGGGATGCATCCCTTCTGTTCCTCTCCATCTCTGCTGTCCCCTCTTCCAATCTACCCATCCTCCAGTGCCCTGCACTACTGACGCAGCCAGCCACCCGCCTGCCCGTGCATCCTCATCAGTCTGTCATCTGACCACTCGTCCTTGGAGACATCATCTGCCCATGGAGACACCAAACCACCCGCGCGCCATTCAGCAATCTACCCAGAGCCCATCCAGCCTCCCCCCACCTTCCTGCTGTCCCAGGCCCACCTAGCCCCCCATCAGTCGGCCTTCGTTCCCTCTGCCCATTCCCTCTTCACCCGCTGATGGTGGTCCATCCACCGGTCTACTGTGTACCCATCCAGCCAGCCATCTGTTCACACGTCCATCACCCACCCATCCACCCACCCGTCCGCCCATTCCTTCATCCGTCTGCTCCTCCATCCACGGAAACCTCCTTCCGTCCCGTTCTTTCCCGCAACCCTCGACACACGCGCCCACACACCCCTCCATCAATCCATTCTCCACGTATCTACCTTGCCCACCATTTTTCTTCCACTCCTCCTGCCCGCGCGTCTATCCTGCCATCCATCTGTCGTCCACCTGCCTGTGCTACCCTGAGCACCCCCTGAGACCCAGGCTCATGCCAGGCACTGGGGACCCAGCACAGAGTAACCCAGGAGGGCTTGCAGCCCCCCACTCCTCCCGGCGTGAGGCCCGTGGCCACCTGGGGCCCCTGTGCCCTCACCTCGTCCTCGGCCTGGGCCAGCTCCTTCTTGAGCTCCTCCACGCGCAGCCGCAGCTTCTTCACCTCTGCCTCGTGCTGCTCCACGCGCCGGTTGGCGTGTGCCAACTCTGCCACCTTCTCCTGGAACTGCTTCTTCAGCTTGCCATGCACGTGCTTCAGGTCGGCCAGCTCCTGCAGGGCGCAGATGGGTGGGAGGGGCTCAGCGCCAGTCTGGGCACCATGCCAGGGAGTCCCACGGGGCCAGGCAGTTCGAGGGATGCTGGTGTCTCTTCTTCCCTGACTCTGTGCACCTGCTGTCTGAAACAGCAGCATTAGAGGCTGGGCTGGAGGCTGGAGGCTGGAGGGGCCCCCTAGCGAGGAGAGAGGGCTGGGTGGGTAGAACCGGCGGTTCCAGTTCGGATGTGTAACTTTGGGATCCTTACTGGGTATGCCCCGGGGATGTCCAGTGGGCTGGTGGAGCTGAGGTCAGGGGTTCGGGGAGGGATGGGGTCTGGAATCTTTCGTGCTACATACATGGCATTTAGAGGCTTGGGGTCTGGGGATGAACAGAACTGGGGAGTGGGTCTCAGCAGAAGAGAAATCAGAGGCCAGAGTGGCTGGGAAGAGGATGAGTGGCCAGCAAAGGAGATTCCCATCCCTGAGCTCTGCAAGTTCTCTGAGCCTCAGTTTTCACATGTGTAAAATGGGGGTATGCACCACCTAAAGGTCTCCTGAATCCATCCTCTTTGCTCCATTTCCACCAACTGCAGCCTGGTCTAGGTCTCCATCACCTCTTGTTGCCCAGGGAACAGCCTCCCCTGGCCTCCCTCTCCATCCTCCATCCACACAGCAGCCCAGTAAGTGCTGGGCTCACGGCAACCTGCTCACTCCCCCTCCTGCTTTGAACTCTTCTGGGGTGGCCCACGGCTCCTGCCTCCTCTACCATGTTCCCCTCGCTCAGTTCCCTCCAGCCACACTGGCCTCCTTGTTCCTCTTACCATGGACATTATTCATGCTATTCCCAAACTCTATCCTCTTCCCAAATGCATTCACCGCCAATTAACATCTGCTTTTCCTGGAAACCTCAGCTCAAAGGTCACTGTCTCCTGGAATCCTTTCCAGGACCCTGGGCCTAAGCCAGGTCCCCTGGTATCTCCTCTTCCTGCTGGCCACCACGGAGCTGTGTGATCAGTACAGGTCTGTGTGACATACAGAGTCCTGCGTGCATGCCCCTGAGCGAGCCATCAGCCCCACTGGGGGGAGGCCACATCTATCTGTTCACAGACCTAGAATGGGGTCTGGCACATAGTAGATGCTCAATACATGCAGCTACTATAATTACCAACCGGTCTGGCACACAGTGGGTGCTCACTAAATGTGGCTACTATGATTGTCAACAGGCCTGGCACACAGTAGGTGCTGTGCTCTGGCTGGTGGGGAGGTGGCCGCCCCAACACTGGCCACTCCGCTCACTGCCCCACCTTGTTCTTCTCGAAGAGCGCGGCCTGGCTGGCCCGCAGGTCGCAGTCCAGCGCACTGGCTGTCTGCCGCCGCCGCCTGGCCAGCGCCTCCTCCAGATCCCCGACCTGTGCCCGCAGCTTCTTGTTCTCCCGCTCCAGGCCCAGCTTCTCTGTCTCCAGCCGCTCCCGGCGGCCCCACTCGGCTGCGTTCTCTGCCTGCAGCCGCTCCATCTGCAACGGGGCAGGGCAGAGTGAGGACTCCCAGGGAGGAGGGGGAGCACGGAGGGCCCGGGCTGGAGGCCCCGCCACCGCTGTAGCCATTTTTGGCTCCAGGAAGCAGACCCAGCTGCAGCAGCTATAATTAAGCTGGGCTTATTTCACGGTGTGCAGGATGTGAGGGCGCTTCTGGTCTCTGTGAGACAGAGGGGCCCCCCTCCCGCAGACTGGGGCATCCTTGGGATGAGGCTGGCCCCCCTCAGAGCACGGGCTGGTTCCTGCCCTTCTCCCAGCGACCTGCTGAAGGAGGCGGGGCCCCGGGACTCCCAAGGCCCAGGCCCTCGCGGGTCCTGTCGGCTGTCCCACCTCGCCCCTCAGCTCGGCCATCTTCCTGTCCATGCTGGAGCGTGCACCCAGCTCGTCCTCCAAGTCTTCGGACATGCGGCCCAGCTCGTCCTGGTGTGCCTCCTTCAGGATGCTGAGCTGCAAGACACAGCCCGGCTGGTTACATGAGAACTGCCAGGACACATCCAGAACCAGCTGTGGAGGAGTGGGTGCAGGAGTCCTCAGCGGGGAGCCTGGGCAGCGCCCACATGGGGTGGCACGAAGTATTCAGAACAGACCCTGAACCGGACCACCCCACCCCTTCCAATGACTCTCACCTCCTGCCCCATCCAAGCTGGGCTGCCAGTGCCTGCTCCCAGCCCCCGTCAACTCATCGTCCCCAACAGTGGCCCTCGGTGGGCTTTTAGAAAAGATAAATTTGAACATACACACCGCCCTCCCCAAAATCCCCTCTGATGGCTCCCAGGTGCCTTAGGATAAAGCCCAACTCCTCTCTGTGGTCTCACAACTCCCTGCGCAATTGGACCCTGCCCCCTTCTCCTCAACCTCATCTCCCACCTCTCCCTTGAGTTCACTGTGCTTCAGTCACAGCGGACTCCTTCCTACTCCTCAAATACGCCAAGTCCCTGACCACCACAGGGCCTTTGCACATGCCATTCCTGTTCAGTTCCCTCTGCCTGGAACATACTTTTTTTTTTTTTGAGATAGGGTCTCACTCTGTCACCTAGGCAAGAGTACACTGGCCGCTGGCATCATCATAGCTCATTGCAGGCTCAAACTCCTGGGCTCAAGTGATCTTGTCCCAGCCTCCCGAGTAGCTGGGACTACAGGTGCACACCACCATGCCCAGTTAATTTTTCTATTTTTTTTTTTTTTAGAGATGGGGTCTCACTATGTTGCCTAGGCTGGTCTCGAACTCCTGGCCTCAAGTGATCCTCCCACCTCGCCCTCCCAGAGTGCTGGGATTACAGGTGTGAGCCACTGCGCCTGGCCCTGGAACACTTTCTGAGGTGTTCTGCAGGACTGACTTTTCTTATTGTCAGGCTTTGGCCTAAATGCCATCCTTAGAGTGGCTTCTCCTGTCTGCCTGGCCTAGAGGAGAGGTCTCCTCATCCCACTCCCCGCTAGAAAGCAAGCCAGGGAGGACAGGGAACGTGTCGCCTGTCCACCTTTGTATCCCTGTGTGGCCTTGGCACAGGGCAGCCCTCAACATACACTGACCGACCTAAAACTGGTCTGCCCGCAGGTGCGTCAGAACTGCTTGGGGTGCCTCTAAAATAATGCGATTCCCTGCCGCATGGCAGCAAAACCCAGCAAACTGCTGCTCCACGCAAGCACGCGGGTGAGTGTTCCATACATAATGCTGAGGGAAAGCTGCCAGATACAAAAGAGAACCGTGATGATTTTCTACTACACCGCACTTTTGTGCTTTCGTCAAATGATTGTACTTTTCTTCCAATGATCACACTTTGCAATTTGAAAAGATTAACAAACACAGATTCCCGGACTCAGTTCCCAAAGATGCGAATTCAGGAGGGTGCAGGTGGGGTCTGGGAATCTG